TCTTCATGGAACATGATCTTTACTTAATATCCTAATGATTTATGATGTGCTCCAGGGTCACATATAAATAGAAAAAGCAAAAGCACCTCAATCAACTTCATTAATACCTGTAGTATGTACTATTATATTTCTATTTGATATGGTCAATTATTGTAAGAGACGCAAGGCGAAAGTGCAAGGAGGATTCCTGCATCTTTAATATGTAATGACTACAGTTGTGTTGATTATGTGTGGGCGAACTCATGTTTACTTATCATTTTAGTTTAAAATGTTAGTGACTGGACAAATCTGAGGGGATACAGGTGTACCACTGGTGGAAAAAATTGACTTTATTGAATTGAACGCAATTACAGGTTTAAGTTCCCAAATCACTTTTATACTCCGACAAACAGCAAAAGTCAAGGGGGTAAATTCTTTATTAGTGTTAGTGGCAAAATGCTGTTCAGAAATAAACAAACTAACATGCTCCAACAAGACAATAACTTAAATTGCAGATGGAGCCTTTAAGAATTGCATGTCAATGCCTAAGCCATTTTCAATTGTGCACAGGGCAGTTTTGTTATGTAAAGCTATTCTTCTTTAAAAAAAAATACCAATGACATGCCCAGACGGATAATCCTTTATATAAAGACTCACAAGTCTTCAATTCCCCAGTGACTTAGTAGTGTAGCTCAGTTTTAGACAGATTATTCACATATTTGGAGACACACTGAACACAAGATGTAATTCTCAAGTACAGGAACATATAGATTCTCTTCTGTCTGATTGGGATGTATGATGAGTGCTACAACAGAAACTTTTCAACCATATGCATTGAATTTACCATTCAATATTTTATAATTTGCATAATTTAGCTTTTAAAATCTATTCTTTTTTTTAATCTACGTACAAGGTATATGACCCAAATCAAGTTTTTCCCATTAAAAAAAAAGATTGAAAAAAGATTGGGATGTATGAATTTAATTAATAACTGTGCAAGTTAAAACCACCAACAAAAACCCAGGAGCCAATGCTATGAATCTAAAGACTAAAGATGAACACATCAAGTTGTCCGGTTTTTTTTTTCTTTTCTTTTTTAAATAAGTGCAGGAAGCGAGACGTAAACTAATTGGACAAGGGCTATTCTGGTTCAAGCTGTTCAGTTGCATGTTGTCTTGTGGGTTTTTTCTTGTACGATGGCCACCGGCACACAGGGCAGCAGTGCCGCCCACCAGCTAGCCAGACCACGATGCACTGCTGGTGAAAAACATGGCTGCACGGTAAACCCATTACAAGGCAATCTGTTTCAAAGTTCTCAAGACACACAACACACTCAGTGCAGTGGAGCATGCCACAAGGCCACTGAGACCAATCAGTGTCCTGTTCCTCTTCACCAGACCACGACTCTTCTGACTTCATTGCAGCCGAACATCCAGCGTTATTATCGTGAAGAACTTCTGAACTGCAGTGATGCACTTCCTGGTACCCACTGGAGCCGCCATTTGGGTTCGCCATAGTTTTTTGTCGGTTGTCACGGTCCACTCGGTTGGGCCCTTCAGACTGAGCGAGTCTGAACTTCCAGGTGGGCAGGTTCTTGATGTAGTCTATTGGAACCAGCGGGCGAAGCCAGAGGTCTGGGAATGCCAATCTTTCCAAAAGGAAATTGGGATCGTCGTCCCAGTCTGACTCAAAGTTCTGGAACGAGGCAATGGGATGTACCAAGTAGCTAGTGTACCAATCCCAGAGACTTGACAACCACTCTAGGTTGTTTGCGTTTTGGTCTTCGTTGCTACATCTTCTTTTCTTCTCAAAGTAGTCGATGAGAAGGCCATGGGCTAGATAAGTGCTGAGGAAGAGAGCTGGGTGAGAAGAATAGAAGGTCCAGTCGGCCCGGACCCAAGAGGCAATAGTAGTGGTGTCTGCGTAACGTAACAGTTTCAGGCTGTACTCATAAAAGTTATCCAGGTATGGAAGCTGAAGAAAACCAAGGATGGGCAGCCAGGAAATGATGAGTAAGGAATTATAAGTCCCTAGTGTGCTGATTAAAACCACAAAGCGTTTTATGGTGGCTCCCTGTGTAATGAAAAGGTCCATCCAAGCCATTAGATTGACCATAACCAAGCTCAAAATGAACAAGTCATTGACTTCTGGTTGTACGGACCGAAGAAATGCATCCATGGCATGCAAGGAAATGAATTCCCCGGTGCTATTGCCGTATCTGTAGATGCCTTCTGGTGTTTTGAGGATGTATGAGGGCATTTGCTGCACCCCAATCTCGTCCAGACAGGTGGTGTTGTCCCAGTTGCGCACGTCGACGAAGATGAACTCGATGCGCCCCGTGAATTTGATGCTGAGAGCTGAGAAAAACGACGGGGGCTGAAGCAGTCTGGCGAACAAGAACATCTTCACTGGCTGCTTTTCCATCTGATACCAGTCATCCATTAATTGCTCAGAGAAACGTATGGTTTTGATGCGCGAGGCAACGTG